AACCACCTCCACCACCACCGCCGCCAAAGCAGAATCCGCTGCTGCTCGGCGCCGGCATCGCCGTCATCACTGACTTCCCTAAGCCCTCCCCCGGCCCCTCTTTCCCCACCTTGGACGGTGGCAAGGAGGTCGTGGCAGGAGAGGAGGGATTGGGTGCGGTTGAGAACTTGAACAGGGATGGTGCCTTGTCAGAGAGGGGGGGAAAGGCGGCGGAGTTTCCTCGAGTCGTTCTTCCCGCACTTTCTACTGCTTTGCTGCCGGCGGTGATGAACGTTTGGCTATGTCCCGATTGCCCGCCGAACACAGAGGGGGCTTTCATTGACAAGGGCGGCATAGGCGCCGTACCCACACTAGCTTTTCCAGCCACACCCGCACTGGTGCTGCTGCTGCCTGCTGCCTGCCCGCAGTCGTGGCACTCGCGCCCGATGGCCCGCCGAACACAGAGGGGGCTTTCATTGACAAGGGCGGCATGGGCGCCGCAGCCGCTGGGGACGCGGAGAGCAAAGTCCGGGTATGCTCCTTCGCGTTGCCTCCATCAACCATCCCCCCATCCGTGTCATCCCGTAAAGGTCCTGGCCCAGGAAGACGTGGCCGCATGGTCGCCTCCTGTGCGTCTGGGGCAGTTGCCGCGGAGAAGGGAGAGGGGGGGGGAGGGCTTGATGCCGAATGGAGGGAGGGGCGCTGGTGGAGGGATCGGTGCGTCCGAGGTCGGGCGGAGGGAGGCGGTGTTGCCCTCATTGGCTTGGAGCTCGGAGGCTGCATCAGGCCCTTCGCTCCCCCCAGGCATTGTAAAAACGGGAAAGGGTCGACTCGGGAAGGAAGGAAAGGGTGAGAGAGTCGCCTTCGCCCCGCCTGGACCGCTCTGTCTAGTGGTATGCGTCATCCCGCTGTGGCTGTTGCTTTTCTCGCCACAGGCAGGCACCTCGCCGTTCAAACTGCCCTGCGATGACCCTACGCCGCCAGCGCTGCCACGGCTCTGCATATTCAGGGCGAAGGGTGAGGAGGCCTTGCTGCTGAAGGGTGGTAAGGGCGGGAGGGGGGCCAGGGGGTTACCCTGGCTGGCTTCTCCCTCCTTGCCCGCTCTAAGAAGGGACACAGACGAGGGAAGGGCGGGACCTGGAGGCAGGGGGAAGCCGCAGCCCATGTCACCCTTCGCCTCAGCTGCTGCTGCTTCCCGACTTGTGTGAGGGGCCAAACAGCCCGTTCGTGCCAGGTCCATCACATCCTTCGGAGAGCCAGGGGTTGCGGGCTCCTCTCCCTCTTCCTCCTCCACGTGCTCCGTCACACCCACGGCTTCGTCGTCCCCCTCGTCGCTGTCCTCGTCCTGGACGTTCTGTGCTCGACTTTGGCCATGTCTGCTTGGGGAATCCGGGGCCTTTCCCCCCATGGAGGACGGCAAGGAAAAGCTGAACGCAGGTTTGCTGCCTGCCCCATATCCCCCCGAAAACACATTGGTCTCCGTCTGCTTCATTTCAAAAATGGAGGGACGGGTGGCGGCTCCAAAGCCGGTGCCCGGCGTCGCCAGGTTGCTGCCCAGCACAGCCGCTGCCGTGTTTGCAAACAAATTGCCACCAGCATTTGAGGAAAAGGAATCCCCCTTTCCTGCACCACCGTGGGCGAAAGAGCCAAACCCGCTGGTGCCGGCAGTGCGATCCACCCCGGAAGTTTTCGAAACGTGCGTGGAACCTCTGACGGGTTGCGTTGTAAGGGGCAAAGCTTGTGCCGAGGCAGCAGGGCCGCCTGGGGGACTGGTAGGTGGTGGAGCTGTGTTGGGTTGTAAGGCTACAGAAGGAGCACTTGACTTGTGATGGACGGGTGCAGTACTGAGAGGACTAGACGCGGCCTGTGTCTTCTTCGTGTTATGAGTGCTCATGTTTATAGAGGGCTTGGGAGACACTTGCTTTGCGGGAGTCGCTGGGGGGGGAGGGGGGTTGGAAAAGCAGCCGATGGCCTTGAGGTCTTCGATTTCCGACTTAAATTCAGACCATGCATCCCGAAAGCCAGGCAAATCCTTCTTTTTTGTCTTGCAGGAGACTTCAAATGTCATGTTAGATTGGATCTCCGGTTCCTTGGGGGAAAGCAGACATGTGGAGGGTCGGAAGGCGATAGTGAGGTCTTTTGGTGTAGGTATGCTGGTGTGACACCACATCACAGACATACACACAAACAGGCCGTGTGTTAGGAGCAGGAAACTACCTTCGTGAGCGCCGTAGCGCACGTGGCGTACCCTAGATTATACGCACATTAGGACATGTGTCCATTACCCTTGAGGAACTGCTCGCCTCCTCGCTGCGTGCTTCATCAAGTCATTCGGGGATAATGTGCCACTTGAACGCTTTTTGCCATCCATTTGTCCAGGGCGTGCGGTTTGTCAAGCGAGGACGGGAGCGTTCGTGTCTGATTGTCAAGCAACCGTTCTTTGTATTGCTCCATTCAAATGGTGTCGTTTCTCCCCATAACTTTGATTTGTAGGAAAACGCCTCCTTCGCGATACAGGAGAGAGGAGGTACGGGCAACACACCCGGCTGCGGGTAGGAAAAAAGGCATTTTCCCACTTTATCGTGAAGCGAATAAAAGACATTTTAAAAGAAGAATATGGCTGCGCCCGGTTCGGAGGTCTCGTCGGATGGAGGCTTCGAACAAAGGAGCGAGACAGAGGAAGAAGTCTTGGATGGGGGAGGTATTTTCACCTATAAACCCGTCGCATACGCCCTGGGAAGACGAGGAAAAGACGCCGTCGATGGAACGAGTGAAAGCAGTAGCAGCGACGACGAGGACGACAACGACGTCCGACCCGTTTTCCCCCGTAGACCTGGAAGAGACAAGGGGCCAAAACGAGGGCGGGAGTGTCTATCGAGTACAGACTCCCTCTCTTCCCCTTCCAAGAGACCCCCCCCGGTGGTCGAAATTGAGAGCGACGAAAGCGACGACGATGGCGTGGTCCTACTGGTGACGACGAATGGCAAACATAGAGAGAAAACAGAAGCGTCGGGTCGCGGCGCATCGGACGAGGAGGAAGACGTCGACATTGGCAGGTATCTGGATGGGGACATCCAAGAGGAGGAATTGACCACGCTACAGCCGGCGGCCACGGGAGGGAAAAGGAGGGGCAAGGGGCCAAATGGGACAGGAAACGGACGACCCATGCTCGCCACAGGCACTAGGGTAGGCTCATGCCCCAACGGCAGGACCTCAGTGCCCGGATTGGGCGCCCCACCCGCTGCCGTGGACGTGACTGCGGAGGAGGAAATGACGGCACAACCACATGCCAAGGCTCGCCTCGAAGCATTGAGGGCGGATACCTTGCTAATGGGGGCGGCCTTGCGGGCCAATGTGACGGTGGAGGTGGAGGACCTGGTGGACACGGCTAGTGTCGCCAGGGAAACGGGACCCCAAAAAGCGACGACGACTGAGGATAAAGTGATGCTCAAGGTAGGGATGCAGGGGCGTCAGCTACAACCCTTCCGAGTGTATACCTACAGCATGCTTTCGGACGTGTTTGACGCCTACGCGCGCATCAAAGGTCTGCGTTCGGAGGATCTGACCTTCAGCTATCAAGGGATGGAATTGGAAGGTTTCGATCAGCCGCGCTACGTAGGCATGGTGGCAGGAGATGATCCACGCGCGGCTGGAAACATCGTTTATGTCCAAGACCGAGCGGCGTTGGCCGCCAAAACCGCGCAAGCCCTTGCGGCGTCCAAGACGGTAAATTTGGTGTTGCAATGGCAAGGAGGACAAGAGAATGTGTCCATGAAAATGCAAGGAAGCTTTGGCGAGCTCAAGAAAACGATGGCGGCGAAGAAAGGTGTGGACGTGGCCACGGTGCGCTTTGTGTTCGACGGGGTGACCTTGAGTGCGGAGACAACTCCTGAGCAACTCGAAATGGAGGACGAAGATACGGTGGACGTGTACGGATTGTCATGATGGGATATGGGGGGGGGGCGGAAAGGAAAGAAAGGAGGAAGCCTGGCTGGAGGGAAAAAGCGTGTGTACGACGGGCGACAAGGTGCAAAGGACGACAGCTTGTAGATATGTAACACTTACAACGGTTTGATGTATTGATGGAGAGACAAATACGGCAACGATGCAGGAGCCTTGGTTTGTTCCAGTTCCCTTCTTCATTTTCCAATCCGGAGTATATGTTACTTCTTTTCCCCTAACGTCGGTTCCGCAAATTGCGCTCTCCAAACTACCCGCAATTTGTTTCTTTCTAAATTGCTTTGTCATCGCTCGATCAACGATGTATGTATTGCCTCCAGCACCTCGCATTACTTCAAAACTTTCGTGCTACATGTCGCATCCGGAGTCCACTTTCACCTTACCCATCCTTACCCTTTTTCCATGTCCACTGTCTATTTTCTCTCAACAAATTCTCTCAGTCTGTGGGATCAATGGAATAACTCTCCTTTCCATCAATAATTGATTAAATTATCTCCGTTTAGTCCATCTTTAGGATCGACCAGATCCTTTTTAAAAGGTGCTGCCAGCTCAACGGCTGAAGGGGAGAGGACACTTAGGTCAGTATTGCGCGGAAGCACATCCCACTCTGCGGTTGCAACCATTTAATTTAATATTTGACCAGTGTGTTGCATGTACAAAAGATTGGACGGGGATGGAAACATGGAAATTTCCTCTGATTTTTGTTTCCCTTCCACAGAGCTTTTACGTCGAAGTGCGCTCTAACAGCTAGCTTGCCGAGGGCACGTTAGACTCTAAGCCAAGCAGTCGGCTATTTTTACCTCTGTCGTCCATTTCTGGTGGCACGATCCCGACACATACACGTCAAAGACGGACATGAACCGCATTTTCGGACAAAAGAAAGTTCAGGCCCCTGCCCCCTCCCTGGGTAAGGAGGACTGTGGGGAAGGTGGAAGTGGCAAGGGAGGGAGGCTAGAAAAAGTGAGCGTATGCTGGTCTCATGCTACTGTTGCTGCAAGAAAGTGAATGCCTTGACACATGGCAGGGCACACAAGGACTCCCCAGCACTCGCAGCCAGTCGCACTATTACTTCTACCGCCCTCCCCGTTGTGTACTGGCTCATAAAGCTGTCCACGTCTTCTGTAAATTTGCGACGACGAATGTACCTCCATTTATTCTTCCGCTTCATTGTTTCTCATGCGTCACAGGCGACGCGTCTGGGAAGATAGACGGGCGTTTGAAAGGCCTGGATGATAAGGTACGCAACAATGGGTTGATGCGGGGGGGGATTGGCGTGTTTTTTCCTTTAGCTTATTCTTGTTTCCCGAAATTTCACTTTTTGGTTTCTCTCCTGGTAGATCAAGGCCTTGGACGACGAATTGAGGAAATTTCAAGGCCTAATCAAGCGGTCTTCGGGCGCCACGCAGGCCAATCACAAGCGCCGAGCCATCGATGTGAGTGCCAAAGGGGGACGTGAAGGGGGCTGTGGGTGAAGGCGAGAAAATCGCTCAAAGACCCTTCAGAGCAGAATGTCCGCCATTCGTAGACTGGGAACTGGAAACAAAGACCCTTGAGCCTGCAACTATCACAGGGCTCCTCCGAGAAGATGGCTCCCAACTCAAACCTCTCCTTCCCTCCCTTCCTCCCTCCCTCCCTCCCTCCATCCCTTGCTTTTTCTCGCTAGGTATTGAAGCGGAAGAAGATGTACGAACAGCAGAGGGACCAGCTGGCAGCTCAATCTTTCAACGTCGACCAAACGAACTTTGCCTTAGAGAGCGTCAAGGTGGGAGGCTGGGGGCAAAGGGAGGGAACGAGGGAGGGAGGGAGGGAGGAAGGGAGGGAAGGAGG